AAATTGCTTGTAACAATTTGGTAAGAATAATTTTCGATTAACTTGATCTTGACTCGTGCAAGACAGGATATGTGTCGGTGGAAATTGAGTATGACTGAGTTATTATCCTCAGTTACCCCTCAGGTTGACTTAGATTTTGACTTGGGCATGATAATTTGATCACGGGCAATGCGAGACAATAGCTTATTTAGCATGTTTCTCACAGGGTCAAACCAGCATCTATAAGCGTTCAAATTAATCTTCTTTAGCTGATTCTCAGTAGGAGCTATAAATAGGATCTTTTTTTGCAATTATTTAAAAAAATAAATAAATTGTATTCCTTCTATTGTTTACTCTGTTAACAGACTCATTGCTTGATCCTTGAGCATTGACATTTAATTTTTGGCGGAAAATCGGCCTGTTTATTTTATAGGCATCGTGTTTATTTCAATGGAGATTGATTCTGAATAGGACTTTTTCGTATTGGAAAAATATATTTCATCTGCAAGCCTTTACAAAATATGATGCATTTTTTTTATTGTCCTCTCCTGCAGCACTTCACATGGCTGCTGCAAATGGGCACGTTGATATTGTAGAGTATCTTATCCGCAATGGAGTGGTAAGGAGGCAATAACACGGTAGCCCTTCATTCACTTTGCTGAAAGTTTATTTTTTATCATTCATTAAGTTCTTTTGTTCTTTTTACAGAATTTATTGTGAGCCAGCGTACTGATATATTAGTCCTTTGATGCCTGCATCTTTTTTATTTCCATAAAGCACGCACAGTTGATAGTTTAGCACCGTGAAACTCATCAACACAATCCTTCCGTTTAAATATTAGGACAATTGGACCTTACATTCGTGATTGATGTAAAATTTGTCTTTTGTTTTAATGTCGGTTTTTGGGCAATGTCAGCGTCCAAAACATGAGCCATTATTAATTTTTTTACTTACCCTTTCATTGTCACACCCTGGGTTCGGAAAACGGTACACCCCGACAATGTAGGATATGATGAAATAAATTGTATCTATTTTGGATTCTCAAAAAAGACTTACATGCAAATAAAAAGGGAATGTAAATTTTATTATTACTGAAAAATTCACTGATACAACTGGATTGAAAACAAAAAATTATATGAATTAAAATAGAAATGATAACATGAAACAATTATGCAGGCTCAAAAAAGAAAAAGTACAATAGCCAAATAAAATACTGAAAAAAACATTAAGACGAGAAAAAATAAAACCGAAAAGCCTGCTCCGATGGAGACAATCCTACCGATGGCTGAATATAATCTATTATACGAAAATGACAATGAGTGAGCTTGACAACAAACTCAGTAAATAACATATATCTATTAATGCATAAACAACAAGGGGAATGAGATGTGCAGTAAGGACAATCACAGTGTGCATATGTAACTATGTAAGACTACAAGAGAGGGGTAAACATCAAATATACATTTCATACGAAAATATACCATAATTTTTCATCAAGTTTTTTATTATTCAGTTTCAATTGTTATTTATATAGTCGGTTTTAACAGACATCCTGAAACCTGGAAGCTCAATACCAACTCAATGAAACATGATAATTTCCTATAGTCGTTTGTGAGTCCATCAACCCGACTAGCCAAAATCCAAAATAATTTTACTGAGCTACATATCATCACACATAAGCATGCCAAATTATTTTCACATATATAAGAGGGGGAAGTTCGACAAGGGATCAAAGGTTATAAAAGGGGTGGGGTAGAGCGAACGAGATGAGGTGTGGTAGCTCCCTATCTTTTAGCCTCGCTTTATAGGGAGCGAAGTCGGTGCGATCGAGCAAAATTTTGGAAGGCGGCATAAACACATCGAGAGAAAAAGGAAATAAATCGCGAGAAATGGCATGAAGAATCGTGCGAAGGTATAGAGAAATTTTTGATTTTTACATACTACACTCCATAAAGGAATTTGGTCCCCAAATTCATACCGTAGTTCTGGAATAGTTGTGGGTACTTCATGATAATCTCTTCTTAAATCTCTCAATTATTTCTCGTTCTGACGGATTCTTTCAAAGCACTCTGACAAAAGGAATTGATCGGCGGTGAAGTTGTCAAACTTCACGTTTTAAGATGCGATCTGGTGCTTCTCCATAACTCAGGTCTCCTCGAATTACCAAATGCTCGTACAAAATAACATGGGTCATATGTTCAATGCTGAAGTAGAGAGACATGAAAGATATTGTGTACTCCTGCAAGTATTGGAGGAAGAGTCAAACATTATGAAACTTTATTGACTTTCACGATCATCTCGAATGGATCAATGAAACGAGGCTAAAGTTTTCCAGTATATCGCATGACTCCGCGCATAGGTGAAGCTTTCGGAAGAATATGATCTCTGACTTTGAATTCAATCTACCTACGCTTTAGGTCTACGTATTTCTTTGACAATCTGGGTCGCACCTAGTCAATCTCGGATTTGACGAACCTTCTCGGTAGCTTGATCCACTAGTTGTGATCCAATTACTCGTCTCTCGCCGACCCCAAACCAACACAAGGGGGATCTACACTTTGTCATAAAGTGTTTCGTATGACACCATGTTAATATTAGGCTTGAAGCTATTATTATAAAACTCTACCAACGGAATATAGTCCTCACAGCTACCTCTGAAATCCAAAATGCAAGCTCTCAACAAATCTTTTAAGGTTTGAATGGTGCACTCCAACCGTTCATCTGTCTGAGGATGAAAAGTAGTACTGAAGTCCAATCTCCTGTCACAGCTTCTTGCACTTGTTTCCATAGCCCATGAAAATGCAACTTCTTTCTTTACTGAAAATTGACTTTAAGAGAATATGTTATAAAATCATTATTGCTAGCATTATCTAAGGTGATAGTAGATACCTTATCTTGAAGATTTCAGTCTAATAAGCAAGCAGAAAAAGCATGACAAATGAATGTACCACTATTGGGTGGTTCTAGCTCAAGAAAACTTATGATTTTCTTTTGCAAGTTCCAACATTCATCTATGTAATGAATAGTTGGGCACATATAACCATTGTTTGGTTTGATGTCCAGTAATTAGAAGTCAATGAACCCTATGTATATCTTTTAGATAAGTTCATTCTCAAAATCATATACCTTAATGCAATCATTTTTAATCACGTTTCTAGACACCCTCTCTTAATTTGGATTTAAACTATTCAGCAACACATGAACCACATATGCTAAAAAATCATGAATGGATATTCATGCTCAATAATCATCTTAACAATTATCTCTCTAATTTGATGTTGATCATATTTTTTAGGATCGTGAAAAATAGGAATATCAATATCTGAATCTGCATCTAAAGGCACTAAGTTTAACATTTTTTGTTGTTTTTTTATGAGTAAAAAACAAGTTTGTTCTTATCTTTAATTTTTTTGCACTCCTTTACATACCTAAGGATTTATGAGGTAGTGCCACTTTTGGATTTTTGAAACTTCGTACCACAATATGTGCACTGCACAAAAAGGAGTTGCAACTCTTTTGGATGTGAAAATTTTTTCCACAAAATATTGCAACACTATGGATATCCCTTCCTACTATTCTTATTTGTGGGGACTTCAACATTGCTAATCTCACTACTCTCAACAATCACTACATGCGTGGGTTGTAAGTCAAGAATTTGATTTTCATTAATATTTTGAACTTCAAATGACAATTCATTAGGAGATGATGAGGTTTCAGAATGATCCAATGCGACATTACAAGTTGCAACACACTAAACAAAGAATATAAGTTAATTATTTCTTGCTCGTTCAATTCCTTTTAATAAACCAATAAAATAGCCACCGGTTAAAACTAGCTAAACATGCTTTCAGAATTCAGATTGAAGAAAATTGGATTTCAGAAAAGATAACAATAGAATTTTCTCAACTCATCATTACTACTTTATCCCAATATCTTTCATTAGTTCATTACATAAATTAGATTTTAAAACTCAGAGTATGTTCAAACTCAGCCTACACTCGATAAGATAACAAATGAACATGTTTGAACATGATAAATCGCAGCCTAATTTATCAATTTTCATCCCTATTTGAGAAGAAGAATTCTATGAGAAAAAATGAGCAACTACAGCGGAAAATGTCTGCATAAATATAGAAGAAAAACATAGATGTAATTTCTATTCAGAGATGTAGCTACATGATAAGTTTACTTCCTGAAGGTGTTGGAAAAAAATCGTTAAATGATTTCCTGATACCTTAAACACTTGAATTCAAACAAACAAATGATATCAAATGTTTCTTAAAAGCATGACAATAACATTCAATCTGATCATGTGATGTGCAGATCGATCCACATAGTACGTGCATAGCTTGCAAGAATAAAATATTATGAGTAAATAATCATAAAAATTTCACCACACTCTGATTTCCAAGAAACAAACATGTCTTTAAAAAGTTAGCCAATAATTTCTTCAGTTATAATAAAATGACAAATTATTATAAAGTTGCAGAAAACTAGATCTGCAAAAGATAGTGATAATCCCAAAATCGATTCACAACAAGACCACAAAAACCAGAAAGATCTAGAAATGTAATAGGATAATAGCAACACTCAATAAACTAGCAATGGATCTAGATAAATAAAAAAAAAGTAACAAATTATAATGGCAATAGATCCAAGAACAAAAAGAAAAACGAAAAAAATATCGCAGCGATACATAGATCCAAATCATGAAAGGAAAGGGGGGGGGGGGGGGGAAAAAATAAAAAAT